TGCGTATATTAGCTTTTTTTTTTAAAGCTTTATATTTTTATATTATAACCTTTTATAAAAATAGAATATTTTTTTACGTATTCGAAATAAATAATAAAAATTTCGGCACCGGTATCGATTAACCTAATAATTATATTTTTTATATTAATAAATTTAATATAAACGGCTATTTTAAATAGCAGATTAATAAAATTTTTAGCATAAATAATCGTAATTTTAAATAAAAAATTTATATTATAAATATCGATATAGCTATTATATAATTAAATATTATTAATTTAAGGTTTATCGGTTAAAAATGCTTATACCTAGGATTTTTATTTATTTTAATTAATAAGAAAATTAGCGCTAATCGTATTAATAAATATAGCTAAAATAGCTTTCGAAAAAAAATAAAAATCCTAATTTAGCAACGCTTTATTCGAAAAATATAATATTTTAGTATAATTTTAGTTATTTATATACTTTAAAATATTAAAAGCCTTAATTAAGCCTTTTTTATATTTAGGTACGAAATTTATTAATTAAGCGTATAAAATTAAAAGCGATTTATTTAGGAATTTTTTTATTTTTTCGTCGAAAAATTCCTGCTTAGTATTAAATCGTTTTTTAGGTTAGATTTAGGCTATTTTAGCTTTTTATTAAAAAGCGGTATTAGGCTTTGCTATTATATTTTAATTAACCGGTTTTTTAAATATTATTTTCGCTTAATTAAGTAAAAAAAATCGCGCTTTTATTTATAGCCGTTTATAAAAAAAGAATATCGCTATTTTATTTTAATATAATATATATAATATTAGCAATATTAAATTTATCCGGTTCGTAAATACGAGCGATTTTTCGCTTTTTTATAATATTATATACTTTTATTAAATATTTTTTTATTTATTTAATAATATTCGAATTTATTATAAAAAAAGCAAAGCCTCCGTTAAATAGCTTTTAATATCAGTATTTATTTATATTAATTTAATTCGGGTATTTAATTAATTAATTAAAAATTATAACCGAAATAACGTTAATTTATGCCTAAATATTATTAGCGGCATTTTTTTTTATAATTTTAGTGCTTTTATTTATAGCTTTATTATTAATGCTATAGCTAGCTTATTTTAGGAAATATTCGGCTTTTATTATATAATATATAATAAAAGCTTTTTTATAATTTAATATATAATAAACGGTAATAAGGCCGATATATTATTTAAGTTTTTTATATTAATTAATTAAATTTTAAGGTAATATTATATTTAAAAAAAAATTATTAAAATTTATATAAAAATACTTTTTAACCTTAGAATTATATAAAAGGAATTTATCGTCGTAAAATATCCGGCGTTTAGCGTATTTTTAAATAAAATAGCTAAATCTATAAAAATAATAATTTATTAAAAAAAAGCTGGTTAATCGATTTCCTACTTTTTTTACCTAAGGCGACGGAGTAAATTTATAAATCGGGAAGCGTTTATATAAATTTAAATTTATTATAAAAACGGTATTAATAGCATTTGCTTATAGGTAAAATAATTTATCGCTTTAATTAAAGATTTTTTTAGCTTTTTATAAAATATATAGCTAAAATTTAGTTATTTTTTTAATAAGCTGCTTTATGCTTTTATTATTTTTAAAAATATTATTAATAATTTTAGTTATATTAATTTTAATATCGTTCGAAGGTTTATTAATAATAATAGCGGAATTAGCTAAGCTTTTAAAAATTCGAATATAAATAATTTAGGTATTATACTTATTAATTTTAATTTCCGTAGCAGCTTATTTTTTAAATATATTTATAATTTTAAAATATTTACGTTTAAAAAATTTATCGTATTCCTTAATAAAATATTATATTAAAATGCCTTTTATAATATTTCGATTAATACGTTTTAATAATCCTTTAGTTTTATTAAAATCGGTAAACTTTTATTTAGCTTTTTAAAGCTTTAAAATACGAATTTTATAATTAAAATAATAGCTATATATTATTATAAAATTTTTAATAAAATTATCGCGTTTTAAATCGCGAAATCGGTCTTTTAAAATACGTTTTTATTTAATATTTCCGATACGAAAAGTTATTTTAATTTTAGCTTTAATTTCGGATTAAATTTTGCATTTATTAATAATAGCTTATATACGATTTTTTATAATTTTATTAACGCTTTAATAAAGCAGCTTTTTTAGCATATTTTAATTAATTATAATATAAAAGTTAAATAATTTTTTTATATTTTTTAAAAAAAATATTGCCTTTTTGCTATTAAATTTAAATTAAAAATAATCGTTAATTTTAGGAGTAATTATATATATCCGGATAATCGGAATATAATAAGCAAAAATTTAAGCAAAAAAAAAAAGCTTAAGGGATAAATTAACATTAATTATATAATCGCTAGGTTTTAGGTATATTATTAATATTATTTAAAAAAACAGCCGAAATAATAGGCTTTTTATTAAAAAGATTAATATTAAAATTTAATATAGCAAATATTTAATTTAATAAATTAAATAAAAATAAAAAATAAAATATAATTTAAAATTAATTAAAATAATTATAAAGGTAATATCGCGGATTAAATCTGGTTTTTCTTTATTATATAATTATCGTATATTTAATATTAATATTTATAATTAGCTTTTTATCCTATTTAAGGTTATATTTCCGGAATATATTTAAAATAATTGCCGAAATTAATTATTTAATTTTATAATTTTCGAGCTTTTTTCGGTTATCGTTAATTAATTTATTAGCTTTTAATTTATATTTAATAATTATATTTAGTTTTTTAGTAATATTTTCGTTTAGTAATAAAATTAAATATTAAATTAAAAATACCGGTTAAACCGTATAATTTTAGGTTTTATTTTTAAAATCGGTAATTATTTAATTAATTTTCCTTTTCGTATTTAGTAAATATATTTTATAAAATTTTAATAATACTCGTATTTAATAAATATTAAGCTAAAATAATAGAATTCGTCGTATATCGCATAAATAAATCTAAAATACCGATATTTAAGCGATATAAATTAATTATATAATAACCGGATAACTTATATTTTTTTTCCTTTACGGATAAAAATAATTAAAATATTATATATTAAAAATGCCGTATTAATAATAAAAATATTATTAATATACTAATAACCGAATAGCTACGGCTTAATATAATTAGGCTTATAATTATATTACGCCGATCCGGCTATTTCGTACGTATAAAGGGAATAAAGGCTTTTTTTTTACTATAATTAGCTAAATATCGATAAATTTTTAGTATTTCCGTTTAGGCTAAAAAAGGCAAATTATCGGGGTTTTTTTTATTTTTATAAAAAAGTATTTTTATTATTTTAATTAAATTTATTTTACTAAAAATGCTTTATAAAAAGTTATCGTACGTAATCGTATCGTCGGCGTATAAATATAATCGTATTAATATACGAAAAATTTAATCTTATAGCTAAGCACTATTTAAAATAAGGAATAAAAACTAAACCAAACTAACCCTACCTAAAACAAATAGCCGTAAAGCTATAGCCTTTATATAGTTTTTAATTAAATAATATATAAAATCTTAAAATATATAGGAATAATTTTAATTAAAAAAATAATAAATAATAGTCCTATATGCTAAACGCAACGAAAAATAAAGGCTTATAAGTCCCGAAGGGACTTATAAAGCCACTCTAAGCTAAGCCTTTACAGCCACTTTTAATGGGCATCTCCAGCACCCCCATATCAATGGTCAAGGCCACGAAAGCATTTATGACCATGTAAGTGGTCCGGACGATTCTGATTGAAATACGTATATGTTGACCATGCCAACAGTGGCAACGAGTCAGTGACGGCTCCCCATCGGCGTACTTTGGAACCTGCCTAGCTGGATTCCCCAACTTCTTCATCATGATGGGTCCCAATACCCTCAGTGGTCACTTGTCGGTCATTTACACTACGGAGTGTCAGGTGAATTACACGATGAGATGCATTGCTCCAATCATGTCTGCATTATCTGCAACAAGACGCCCTGGTCGCTCGCCATCAAAGCGCAAGCTCGTGGACACGGTCGTCGTGACCCCAGAGGCCGAGGTCTGCGATTTGGCCGAAACACAAGTCAAGGCCCGCGAGCTTGTCTGGTCCCCGGGTTGTACCTCTTGGTTTCTGGATGCCGCTACGGGCAGAAACACGGCCATGTTCCCGGATTGGCAATACATGTTCTGGTTCAGAAGTATCTGGGTGCCATGGAAGGATTTTGTTTTTGGAGCGTCAGTCGAGCAATAGTTGTAGAGAATGATCACTTTGCTGTTACCATATATATTCATCTCATCATTCACGATTAAGTTATAAGTGATGCTTGAGTGACACTAAGTGAAGTGATTGCATCTGCATGTTACGAGAGGGACAATTTGACCACAGGAAAACACTACTAGACTATCAGAAAATAGTCAAATCTATTTAATGTTGAATTTCATCTTCTCTACACATTTGAGTCATCTACCATTGCAAGAAACTGTGACTGCAATCCAGCCATTGATGTCCATCAAACTCGAGCTTATGGACACCAAATGTGCATTCCACCAAAGCCGGCACACAGACACAGTGACCGCGTTCCAATACGCATTTGATTAATCTGCCGCGATTTTCAAGAAAAACTCCTGCATCAAGCTAATGCGTCTACTCCTTCATGCGACCATTTTTCTTAGACATGTTACCGGCCTAAGACCCGCATTTTTGGCTTGGCCCTGTTGACTTGCCCAATTACCGCTTTAGGCAATTTTCCCGAACAGGTAACTCTGCCGAATGCTGTGACAGGATGTTATCTGCATTTGGCCGCCATACTTGATGCCAAGAATCATACTAGCTACTGATGCTGTCGTGGCGTATCGAATTTATATATACATCTGCTTCGGGCTGTCTAGACTTGTGAATCAGTGGGATGCTCAAATTATGCAAGGCCACAATCTAGTACAGCAAATAAGTAGTGCCAGAATCAAACTTTGCGACCATGCCTCAATACGATCAATTCACCGGCTTCCAGTCTGGCTCTGTCGAGAAATGGACTCAAGTCCAAAAGAAACAGTTCAATGTCAAACCCTTTGGAGAATATGATGTTGATGTCGAGGTGGAGTGCTGCGGCGTCTGCTCCAGCGACATTCACTCCATCAACGGCGGCTGGGGCAACTCGACATTTCCTTTGACCGTCGGTCACGAAGTCGTCGGGAGAGTAGTCCGGGCTGGGCCCAAGGTCACGCTGATGAATCTCGGCGATCGCGTCGGCATTGGCGCGCAGATTTGGTCGTGCCTCGAGTGCCACCAGTGCTGCAACGAGAATGAGACCTATTGCCCCGACTTGATTGCTACCTACGGTCATGCTTGGCCGCAGCATCCTGGGCTGATATCGCAAGGTGGCTTTGCATCGCACGTAAGAGCACATGAACACTGGTAAGTCTCACGTCAGACTCGTTGATAATTGCATGCTAAACGTCGTTTATATCAGGGTTTTTCCAATACCTGCCGAAATCCCGAGCCACCTCGCCGCGCCGATGCTTTGTGCCGGCATTACATCCTACAGTCCTCTTGTCAGATTTGGGGCAGGCCCTGGGAAAAAGGTCGGCATCGTCGGGGTCGGCGGCCTTGGTCACTATGGCATACTCTTTAGTGCGGCGCTCGGAGCGGAGACATGGGCCATTGCTCGTACCAATGCCAAAAAGGAGGACACGATAAAGATGGGAGCAATTGGATACCTTGCCACTTCCGAAAAGGATTGGAATGTGCCCCACAAGATGACTTTCGACCTCATCATCAGCACCGCCAACAGTTTCGGCGATGGTTCTGATCTTGGTGCCTACCTCTCGCTTCTAAATGTGCTTGGGAAATGGGTATCGGTCGGGATGCCAGAGGAGGCCACGCTCACGATCCGTCCGCAAGACCTTGCCGGCAATGGCTGCTTTGTTGGCGCAACACACCTGGGTAGCCGCAAGGAGATGCTGGATATGTTGCAGCTCGCAGTCAGCAAAAACATCTCGTCATGGGTGGAAACAGTTCCAATCAATGCCGAAAACCTCTCAAAGACGTTCAAAAGCTTGCACGAAAACTCGGGCGCAGTCCGCTATCGATATTGTATGACGGAATACGACAAGGAGTTCAAGCAGTGATTAGATAAATACCGAAATATCTTTGGGGGGGGGGGGGGGGGGGGCGTGGGACACAATTCAAAATACTGCTGATGATGATGGTATTCCGATCTGGCCCCGGCATTGGTTATGATATACCTAGATGGTCAAGGTATTCATTTACTGTTTCGTCATTTTCCATTTTCTTGATGCCATAATCCTTCCGGTCGTGAAACAATTGCATTGATTGCTGCCGAGTTCAAAGTTCTACCTTTAGCCGTGGACACCATTTTCGACAACGTATGAATCAATGTGCTGCAAAATTTTGAAAGTTAATCTCTGAGATGGGCTTTACGCCATCTACCTTGCAACCGCTCAATTCTGCTATGGCTAACCCCAAATCTTGCGCGAACTGGGCTTCTTCCATACTACCACCATGGTTGATGAGCCCTCGTGTGTGCCACATAGCCTGCGTAGTTCAGGTCAACAAACGAGGCTTCTCATGTGTCATCTTATTCATATTATTTGACTTACTTGAACGGGGCATTCACAGCAAATCAAAGCTGCTATATTACACATTTGAGTCTCAATCGGGGTTAATATGGCGTCCTCTGAAATGTAATACTCGTACGCTAGTTGGGTATTCAGGAGATCTAAAAAGTATATAGTCAGCCTAGGAGGTCTTTTCTTTTTCGAGATAGTCAGGAGACTCACACAAGTCCGGGTGATACTTGAAATTGTTGTCTCTGTTAGCTTGGGCGCTTTCAGGTGTCCATATCGTGTCAAAGTATCGTCGTGCCTTTTCGTAGCGTATCTTATCCATTTGGATGCGCTGCACCTCATCGGTCTGGGATAGCTCCCATCTAACATCTTGTCAACCATGTCCATTTTCTTTTCATGAGTCTTCAAATAGATCAACCTACCGTGGGCCATAGTGATCAATCTCTTCATCTTTGAGGGACTTGAACAAGGGTAACAAGGCTTGCAGTGACCTCGGGATGCCATAGAATGCGCTGGTCTTCAAAATAGCCTCTTTCATCCTTCGTTGTATGATCTTCTGATCATCCAGAGTGACATCTTGAACGACCTTTTTGTATAGCTCTACAACGTGTTGGCCAGTGTTGGCTGAAGCCAGCGCTACAGCCTGGGCCTACATTAGTGAACACAGTCTATGATGTTGATCACTGAAGGGTACGACTTACGGCAATCAGATACCACCTAGCCCTTGTGATTTGTTGCGAGTTCTCTCGTAATTGAAAAGTCTCGAAAATGTTCTGTCGAGACATGATGAGAGCTGGCTTATAACGTGACGAATAGTGAAGCACAACTCGCGCTCCAACCAAATGAAACTGGTCTAAAGATCAGAAGACGCCTTTTGTTTGGTAAAAATGGTATGTGTGAATCACGAACATTGTAATTAGTTCGCATTAAATGCGGCTCCCTCCTCGGCAAATCTTACATGGGGGCTCATATTTTGTCCGCGGAATAATGTAGTACCTGTTGGCGATTAGAAGCTATACAAAACAATACTTCACCACGCCCAAATCGACAGCCGATTTCTGTACTGCTTATGATTTCTGAATCAGCATTCTGTCAGCACTTGATCCGTATTATACATCCGGAAGGGTGGGGGGCTTGGCCCGGTGCTCGGCGGGGCCTGCGAGGGGGATCCGCGGAACCGGAATGCCCATACTGGAGTATGTTAACGCCGGGTCGTGCGGTACACGATTCCAGGAAATAGTATGAGCCGATGCATAAAATCTCATTCACAATATTCAATTTAAAAGGATTAGATTGTCTCGTCTCTCTGGTGTGATGAAAATGTGGCATATTCATCACACTTCATTCAATATATCAATTGGAAAAGTCGACTTCCGAGCATCTCTCGACATTGCTACCATGGCAGAAAACTTGCAGAAATTCTCCGGCATCACTTCGCCTGGCAGCCACCTGACCGACCACGAGTCTGTGGTTGACACCATCCACCGCCTTACAGAGTCTGTTGATTCTGAAGACGCTCCCATGTTTGAGAGCGCTATTTACGATGACGCGGAATGGGATGTGAGCGGCCTTACATTCTTGGGCAAGAACTATGGTGTCCTCAGGGGCAAAGAGGAAATGATGCATTGGCAAATGACGGGTCCTGCACCTGTGCTCACAACGCACATGGTCTCGAATGCCAGGTCCCACGTCACGATTCTCAAAGACGGCACAAAAATCGCGACTTGCACAGCATATGTGCTAGCACAACACCTACCGCGTGGAACTGCGCATAGCAAGATTTCCACTTGGGACAAGGATGTATTCCTGACTGGTAATCGGTTATCAGGTGAGCTGAAGTGGGACGGAGAAAGGTGGCGGTTCATGAAACTTGCAATCAGATGCATCTGGAGTGTTGGGGATAACGATTTCATTGTGGCAGGAAGGCCAAAGGCTCACGCCGAATGAACTTTGATCTCATTCAACTATGAAATTGACACATTCACTATCCTTCGGGATGGTCACTAAGACACTGAGTGCTTCTTCTTGTAGGGACGTTGATCAGTGTACCACATGAGCGATCATATAGCGGGCTCAACGTGCGGTGTTGTGGTAGGCGATCGATTTAGATCAATGATCGTTACAGATTACTCCGGTTTCGTGAACCAAGACTATCCATAAGATTTACTGGGATCTCATTGTTAAACAATAAGCAGAAATGATAGCATATCTTTTTCGGGTGAAAAACGTTGCTGTTCGAGCGTTTTGATCACACTGAGTTTTAGTATTAAGTTGCCGCGAAGGTCTGAAGAACAATTCCAATATGCCATCCCAGAAAGAAAGAGGAAGAAGGAGAAGGGGGTTGTTTAAATGGAGTCCTTTGATTTGTCATGCCTGGCATCCCAGGAGTAGGGCGATGATTCCAAATTGTTAAATGCTTGACTTGTTATCAAAGTGAAGCACTCCATCTGAACCTCTTAGAGCGATGGCGTACAGGCAAAATGCAGCACTGAGACCACTAGAACTGATAATAGCAAGACTTCGTTTGGCTTAATACATTACGCTTCGCACAACGATGAATCCTCCTCGTCCATCCCAGGCAAGTGATGCCCTAAAATGAATCTAGTAATTACCATCAACGTTACGTGCGAAAGGATAGAAGGGGACTTCGTCCCGATCGTACGTGGACCATAGATAACGGTCACGGCCACGCGGGTGCTGGTAGCCGGTAGCCACAGCCACGAATGTGGCTGTACTGGCTTGCGTCCAGTATACCTAAATGACATTGCCGTACGTGACCGCAAGTATCAATATTTCAACACATGGGAGATTCAGCTGAAAATCACTGGCCAATGGTAATGATAACCTCCTTTACTGTCATTGTTATTTGAGGTGTAAATGGGACAAAATACGCTCAGCTTTCTTTTTTCCTCGTTTCCCTGTAGTGCAAAAGAACCCTGCATGACATGAACTTTCACTTCTCTTCCGGGAGCGTACATTTCAAGTTCTGTGAGAGATCCTAGACTTTAGGGTCCGTTCACAGCTATCATTGATGCCCAAAGTCCTACGCATTAGCATTTGCACTGCCGGACAAATGCCACAATATACTCCACCTCGGGCGTCGATTATTCAAACGCTGAGTTGTACGTTACTTACATGATCATTAATCAAGTTGGCTATTGAGATGTGCTTTCCACTTACCTAATCCTAAGTACCCCTCCGATGGTGCATGGTCTCGAGTTCCAGCATTCTGTAATCCCTCTCATTTGCCTGTTTCTGAGAACAAGATTATACAGTAGATTCGCAGCTATTCACAATGCCAAATGATGAGCAACACAACATCAGCCGTCATCATGTTCCCGGATTTGGCGCTCTCGTCGACTTCAAGATTAGAACTGGTGGTCAAGCTCCTGGTGAGGGATTTTCAGGGTGGTCCGGATGTGGGGGCCAGTCCGTAAGTGGGTTTGGGGCGTTAGTTGAGATAAAATTAGTGGAATTGTAAAAACCCAAAGTTAATGGTAATTGTAGCAGTAAGGCATTTTTGAGTGCGTAACGGACGTTAGCCGACTGGCGGAGTGATTGACACGTCTTGCGGCTGTGTAGTCTGGGTTTAATATCCATTATAACGTTTAGTCCTACTACTTTGTCTGAAAGACATCCTTCAATATAACCTCTCTCTTTTCATTTGAGACCCAAACTGTGCCCATTGTGTGCGATATCCGACATTTTGTTGGTACTGGGCGAAAAATTAGTACAAAACACATCAAGATGGACAACTATACAGCATCCCAAACTGAATCGACTATTGTCACGGCGGTAAAAGAATGGCTCTCAACTTGCGACAGTCGTCATGCCAGTACTTGCACCAATGCGTGCTACGGAAGGACTGATGACGAACAACTTCTTATCCGACCTTCTCGACTCATCGATGTCAAGAATCAATGCGTTGTAGATGGAAGTGTTGAGGGCCAATACATTGCTCTCAGTTACACTTGGCAGAATGCCAAAATGTCATCTCACGGCAACGAAGAATTACAGCTGCGCACAGATAACATTGATACACTCACTTCGCATAACTGTTTCGAGAAATACTCGTCTTTGCTCCCAAAAGTCATTCGAGATGCCATTGAGCTGACGAATGAGATTGGAGTAAGATTTCTATGGGTGGACAGGTTATGCATTATTCAGGATGATCCGGCAAGGATATCTGAGATTGAGCGCATGGATCAAATATACGTTGGTGCCTACATGACAATAATTGCTGCAGCGAGCCACGGCATGTTTATGGAAGAGGGGGAAACCATCCACAATCCATCTGCCTATACTCCGAAGTTTGGGAAGAGAGTGTTCGATGACAACCTCAGCGAAGATTTGGTCCAATCCAATGTTCGATGGGCCTACGGAGATGTGTCTTGGTCGGAATGGGCAAAGAGGGCTTGGACTTACCAAGAGTACATCCTCAGTAGACGCGTTGTCTTCTTCCAGGGATGGCAGATTTTCTGGCAATGCGAATGCGCAGTCTGGAACTTGGGTCAGCTTCGACCAAGACCAGGTAACGAAGCTGTGATTATGGGCTCATTGGTTCGCGATATTATTCGGCCGCCTAGGCCGTCAACTTCACCCGATTTTGACCTGTATGCAGGCTTGGTTTGCCCATACAATGGGCGAGAGCTTTCATCCCCAGCAGATGGTCTCTTTGCATGTCTTGGCATTTTAAATCATCTTGCTCCAGCGTTCCCCGACGGCTTCGTGTTTGGCATGCCAAGACTCTACCTTGACCACGCTCTTCTTTGGCAGCCATTGAAAGGAGGCTATGATAAAACAGTTGAGGAATTGCATATGGACGGATGCGCCGAAAGAAACAGTCAATCGACTCGCAGACCAACCCTCCCATCTTGGGCCTGGTGTGGCTGGCAATGTTTCATCGACCCGAAGAGCTTTCAATCAGCTCTCAATATTGGCCAAATTGGTCGCGGTGAAGGATCTGTCACGAATTCCTGGAAACTGAAAAGCTCTACAACATGGCAACACGGATCCTCAAAACATGGACCAGCTTCAACCCATATATCGGCTTGGACTACACGCATATACCTCCTTCCCGCAGCTACTCTTGAAATTCGTAAGACTCCGTCTTTCAACGCAAGCGGCATCTTTGATTGTGCGGGCCACATACGCATGTTTGACAATCCGGTCTTGACTGAGACGCCCTTAGACGAAATGCCGAAGGTGGTGGTTCTGCAAGATGAAAATAGGAGATGGGCGGGCCTGATCAGAATCACAGGAGATTCGAAAGTGAAACGAGGTGGTGAAATGGAAATAGTTGCCATTTCACAGGGCAGTGCCAACGGTAGAGACTTAAAGAGCTCTTTCGAGGAGAGAGTATTTCGAAGAAGTCGATATCACAGTGCTCGTATATTTAAGACCATATATGAGGACGAGCACGCGGTTGATACGTTGGGAAGGCATTCTGACTCTTACTTCAACGTTGTTGCTGTGGGTGAGTATGAAGACAACCTTATACTCCCAGGTGATTATCAAGATGATGTAGAATACGAGTTCTATAACGTTCTATGGGTAGAACGGGGAGCTGACGGTGTTGCCTATCGGGCTGGTTGCGGGCGTGTCATGAAAGATTGTTGGGGGGCAAATAACGCAACTCAAGTGGAAATCACCTTAGGCTAATTGAGCACTATTGGCAAATACTTGGCCTTGCTGATGCACGACAGTGTGATTGGGTTAGGTGGCACCTTTCGGGTGACACAAGAGGTATGTTCGCTTAAATATATCTGCAAAACATCTCACAGCTTGTTATCGGGTGCCTTGAAAGGTGGTCTTTGGAGTCCTTGAAAATGATTTGGCGGTGCCATAAGAATTTAGTACGATTGCTTGAAGGGCAAACTACTTATTGAAAAACCTCAAATTGCGGAGCTAATAGCTTAAGTCGCCTTATTGACAATTATAAAAAATGCAAAGAAGGACAAAAAAAAAGAAGATAACAGAAAGAGAGAATAAGAAGAGAACAATAATTGTAATCATACATAAAGTTTTATGTTGCTTTAGTATTTTTTATTATTAAATATTATAAATTTATGATTATAGCTACGTAAGCGCGAGTATATAGGATAAAAAAGGTGATTTTCAACAGTTTCCCCTTTAGTGCTCCCTAATGAATTTGGGAGTCTTGCGTTGTTTTAATGCCATTCCTGATCATTCGCTTCTTCTTGAGTTCCGTTTAGAAAGCCAGGCTGTCGATATGCATAAGCTTGCATTAGCGTCGCCCCAATTCAAGCAAAAACTTGTGCACGAGGTGGTGTGACGCCAATCCTAACTAAGGTGGAGGCGCTGCATAATATCGTCGACAGAAACCTGTTCAAAACCCCTACAGATTTCAACTTAAATACACAACTCACAGCTGTCTTGGCTCTGCTTCTTCCCCCGGTGCGCTACAAGTCATGAGGTCTCATCATGGTTGGTGTGTGAACAACTCGACGCCCAGTTCTGAACGTTCTTGACTGACGACAATACAGCGTAACATGCCGAGATAGGAAGGTAAGCCGAATTCGCCATGGTTGGGCGTAAAGTAGGAGGATCTAAACTTGACTCAATACCAGGTTAAATGCGACGAGAAAAAGCCCAAATGCAATCAATGTCGCAAATCGCGTCGCACCTGTGCCTATTCAGATAGCAACGTCTTTCGGGTCGAGACTCCGCGAAATAGCAATGGCCAGACTTCTCGACAGTCCGTGCCTGAACATCAGACTGGACCCGCCACAAGGAGGAGGGCGAATCGTGTTGTCGCCAGTCACAAGTGTACGCATTTTGATGATGATTTTGCGATCCAAATCTGACTTGATTCCTAGTCATCTTCTCATATTTCGGGAAAGATACATCTCCCAGAGCCGAGCACCAAACACATTCCTCGGGTTCATCGGACAGAATCGGAGGACGTGAACCTATTGGATTAATAT